GGCAATCGAATTTCAAGGATTGGCAGAGGTGGTTGGAAAAAATAAATCAGTTGTGGACGCAAGGTGATAAAAATATGGTTTTATACTACAAAAAAATAGAGTTAAGCGTGGCTTCGGATTGCGTATGCAGCTTTCTTGAGGGGATAACGATAATATGTCACACTAATAAGGCAATGATGAGTTTCCCATTCCGTTATTTGCCGAATCTGTAGTATATAAAGAACTTCTACTTACTTCTCACTCACATTATTCACCATGTCCCAATGGTTGTCACCAGGTATGCTCGTTCGGAAATTATACTTTGAGGCAAAACTTATAATAATAATTCCGTAAGAAGGGAACTTTCTCTTCAGGGCAATTTTTCTTTCTTTTTTCTTCTTTTTCTTTGGGGTTTTTTTTTTTTTTTCTTTTGGAAAAATTTCAGAACTTTATCGTTTCGAAACTTTATAATTTCTTTTTAAACTGGAATTTGAAACAAACTCATGACAAGAGTACTATTCAAGATGTGAACTTCAAGCTTTAACCTTGTTATACTTCCAACTTTTTGAATACAATCCTTAAACCTGAATTGTTTTTCGCAAGCAGGTCATTTTCCTCCACCACAGCCACCATACTCGACTTTTCAGGGGCCGCCACCTGTTCCTTCCAATCAATATTTGCCTTCATATCAAAGACCCTCTTTACCTCCGCCATCACAAGCACCCTCGTTAGATGATCTATCTTTAGCGTTTGACAATCTTGCGATGGCATTAAGGTTGACAGCAGGTCCTCAAGAAATTGATGATTTTCAAGTAACATTAGGGATGCTCATGCATGACTGTTCACAATCAAACATTCAAGTACTATTTTTTGGTTTTTTTTTTGTAAAATCATTAAACTTCTCATTAGCTTTATCTAATTATTAAAATGATATATAGCGAGGCAAAACTTGGATATTCAACCATTGTTCTTCACCAACTCATTACGAAGTTTTATTAAGATTTTTAATTGCACTTTCAAGATCTCGGACTGTGTTTGAAGATAAATTACACTTGATATATTTGGTTAATGATGTATTATTCCATAGGTAAAAAGAAAAAATATTATTTACTTTATATAAACATAAACGTTGTAGGATTAATATGTAATTCGTATATTATTATCTATATTTTATCACAGTGAGCGTCGTCAAGAACCTTGGATAAAAGAGGCATTGCATCCAAATTTGCTTGCGTTACTTCGTTCTGCTTTCCATTTTATAGATGCTAATGAAAAACAACAAGAAAAAGTTCTTAAAGTAATGTTTATTTTAATTTATAATAAATACTTAAGTTACTTAACGCAAAATTATTCATCTGAATTAGTTCTGCTTAGATTATATCTATATGGGGTGATAAACACTACTTTGATGATATTAAAATTAATGCTCTGAAGTCTGGTGTTATGGTTCCTCCTCCGCCTCCCGGTGGTCCACCATCGGTCACATTTCCCGGGATGGCACCTCCAGGGCATCCCGCTTTTGGGCATATTCGTTATCAAAATCCTCAGAATGTTTCACCTTTTTACAATCAGGGTGCACCGCCCCCACCGAATATGTTTCCCGGAGCCCATTCGCCAGCACAGTCAATTATTTCATCAAGTACTCATTTGTCTCCACCAGTTGCTCATGGTCATTTGAGACCTAACTCTGAACCAGCACCACCTGGTATCCCTGGTCAGTTTCCTTCCGGTCCTTCACCACCGGACATGTCAATGCAAGGAATAGGACCAAGGCCTAACGTATCTGTTACACCACCAATACCCACTGTACCAGAAAAAAAATATTATGAACTACCAGCAGGATTAATGGTACCAGCTGTTTCGGTATGTAATTAGAGTATATTGATATTTGATTAAGTGTTTTATGCTTTCTTAATGCTTTACTTATTATCAGCTCTTTTAGCCTGAGGATCCGCCGTATACACCAATTCATGCTGCTTCTATTAGACTTCCGCCACATCGACTTCCACCAACAACCGAGTTACTTGAAGCAGTAGATAAATTTTATGAAGGAATGAAATTGATAGAGTTAACTATTGAAGAAGATGATGAAAATGCAACTTCAGAAAATAATAGTAATAATAATAAGGCTATTCTCGATAAAGATGGTTGGGAGAATGGATTTTTAGATGATTATTACAAAGATTTACAGATTCGCCGTGCAGCAGCAGCAGCAAGAGCAGCAGCGGCTGGAAGGTATTATCATCGACCATCTTATCGGCGTAAGAGAGATGATCGTGGACGTCGTTGGTCAAGAGATAAGAGTTATTCAAGATCAAGGTCACGTTCATGGTCTTCATCAAGGTCTTATTCAAGAAGAAGAAGGCATTATAGTTATTCTGATTCATCAGGTAGTAGTCGTAGTCGCTCGAGAGGTCGCAAGCGTCATAGACGTAGTAGTAGAAGTCATAGTCGCTCAAGATCAAGCTCTAGGCGTCGGTATAAGAGCCATAGTCGAACAAGACATGATTGGAGGAGAGCAAAATTAGGAACACTAAGAACAAGAACACGTTCGAGATCACGCTCTAGGAGCCTTTTGAGGTCACGTTCATATTCGCGTTCCAGATCTAGGTCTAGAACTAGATCAAAATCTGTAACAAGAATTAAAACTGGTTCTAAATCAAAAATAATGACAAGTTCAAGATCCAAAACAAGAAGAAAGACTAGGTCAAGTTCCTTAGTACGAGCAAGAACTAAATCTAGGTCAATATCCAGTTCCCGATCCAGGTCTACATCTAGGTCAAGATCAGGATCCTATGAACGAAGCCGAAGTAGAAGTCATAGCCGTGATCGTGATAGACAAAAATCAAGTGAATATGGTTCGACGTCACGCAAAAGATATCAAAGTAGATCATATTCTAAATCAAGATCGAGGACGCCTTCATATAACGGTGGAGGTATAGGTTACGTTAAGGAGCGTGACGAAGGCGCGAGGGCAGATAAAATGATATCTGATCATAATGTCGGATTCCAAATGCTTAAAAAACTTGGTAAGCCATTTATGAAAATACTGTTATGTAACTTTTTAAATTTAATTATACTCATTAATTCAAATATGTTAATAGGTTGGGAAGGAGCAGGAACGGGTCTAGGTTCATCAACGACAGGTATTGTAGAGCCAATTAAAGGTGGTGAAGTCAGACTTGGCGAGCAAAAATACTTGGGTGTAGGACACAACCAAGGCGATGAGGACGACATTTTCGACCAATATCGTAAAGCGAAAAGTTACACATATCAAAGAAGTGATATCAATTCAAAAGATAAGAAGCCGGCAGGGTGCTTTAGATGTGGAAAGGTAAGCTTTGACTATTTTTTAAAACATGTGATACCTGTGATGTTTAATTACAATTTAAATGCTTTTTTTTATTAGCCGGGTCATATTGCACGAGAATGTCCAGATTAATAATTTAGGATGTATTCGAGTCGATTGTTTCGGTTATTTATATAAATGTATATACAATTTTTTTGTATCGAATAAAAATTCTTGCTCATATATAGATAGATTAATATTGAAAATATATAAATAACTTTAGTAGTCTATCAAGATGTGCATTTATGATCATACACGGTGTAACATTTACATAGTTGTAATTTTTACATTTAAAAATTATAATTACCAATTTGTGATAATAAAATAAACGGACTGGCCGTAAATATTATGTTAATCTTATTTTAGAATAATCTTATGACTATTGTTAAATTGTTAATTGATACTGGGGATGTTTAACTCCGGGGTATTATTATACATATCCTAAAAATTATCTAATTCTTTATGTTAACTAAAATTTGGACCTTCATATCTAACCCTTGTTTCAGTATAATTTCTTAATTTAATAAAAATAGGGAATTGATATTTTCACACTCCTACTAATAATTATAACTCAAAACTTGATATATACTGGGTGTTTGATAAGTCTCTAAACAGGACCTTCGTTGCTATATACGGCAATACGTCCACTAACCCGGTGTTACTATCGTAATTTCGGGAGAGCGTCAGTAAGTGGCCGGAATTAGATCAGCGATAGTGAACGACGGTTGGATTAATTAGGAAACGTGGTTTCTTTATATAGGGTTGGGACGGATATGAGTTAATAAGGGAGCGAGGAACTAAGGATAGGTACAACAATAGGT